TCTGTCAAGAGATAGCCGGAATGGCTGTTTCCTCCACCTAGTCGGAGGGTTAGTTTGTTGGTTTTCCTCCTAGTGGGGAAACCAATTTGGGTTTGGTTTAAGAAGAACCAAACTTGAGCCTATTATGATCCATGGGGTTATTATTGGGCTAAGGGTTATGAGGGAGTATATATATGACTTCAAACCTAATTTTGGTAAAGGAGAAACTAATTGAAGAGATGCAATTTTCGTAGGCTAAGAAGGAGAAAAAAAGTTTCATCAGGGTTTGTTCAAGAGAACATTTGGAGGCTTAAACGTGCTCCGATTCGGTTGAAATTTTTGGGTTAGCTTTGTGACCCAGTGGTCTTAATATTCAACGGTGGAGATTGTATTTCAACGGTTGGTTCGTTGCAGATCTGGGTTTTAGCGAGGCTGTTCGCTACTGTTGCGAGTTCAGATTTCAGACTGTGTTGTCTTGAGTGTTTGGAAAATCCGACGGTGAATTCTTCTTGGATTGAGCTGAAATTTGGCAGAAATATTTCTGACTTGTTTATCTAGGATTTATACGGTGGAGATCTGATTTGGGGACCGGAATCCTAGTGAATTTAGGGTCGTTTGGGACTGCTTGTTTCTAGGCTCTTGTATTGCTCTCTTGTGGTGTTTCTTGTGTTGGAGATTGCTCTTTGGAGACTTAGTCTCTGGATCTGTTCTTTGGGAACAGAGAGGACGTGGTTGTAACTCAAATTTGATATAGTGGATTTTTTAGTGGACTACGGTCCCGTGGTTTTTACTACTCACATCGAGGAGGTTTTCCACGTAAAATAATTCGTTGTCTCATTTACTTTACTGTTTTGATTTGCTTCTACCGTATTCTATATTTTTCTCTCAAGTTCACATAAGTGTGGGGAAATTTATTCCGCTGCGCCATTGGTGCTTATTGTTTTTCCCCAACAGATCAACCCATATATGAACACTTATACAGAAACTTCCTAAATTATGAAACATAAATTAAATATATTTGTGTTCTGTGAACGATTTAAATTTTGTTCCAATATATAAAACAACACATAAGCACAACTTTTCATTTTGATTTTGAAAAATCACAACTTTTGATCTGAATCGATAAAGATAAACTCAACATACATATTCAAGATACCTATTCGCTATACGAGAGACGACTATTAGTCCTGATTAATCGTTAGATTTCTTTTTCTTCCTATTGAAAAGCTTATACGCAGATCAACGCAGATCAAACTTACCTTCAAGGATGCATATTTGTTTGATAGATATGTAAGAAAACCTTTCGATTTCATTTCCCATATCAACAACCATATTCTTCAGCTCGCAAAGTAGATCACTCAAATCTGCAAGCCCATCATCTTGTTTTGCTTTCTCCATCTGTTAAAAGAGCATGGATCTCAATATCTTGATAAATTAAAAGAAAATCAATTGTTAATATGAAGGATTCTCGATTCGTTTTGTTTTGTGTATATGTGA